ACTTACGGATTATTAACCGAGTGCTTGTGATTCTTCCAGGCAATCTTTCCGAAGTGTTCCGGCTTGGTGCCGTACTTCTTCATGTGCTCCTTGCCAGCGTTGCCAAAGATCTGTGCAGCCATTGGTCCAGGTCCGATCTCTGTCAGCTCTCCCATTTCGGTGATGTGCCGTTCCATGGGATTGGCACGATCAAAGTACTAGCAGTAAAGATAATGTTATGGGTGACATTATATAGGGATGAAAGTTTCCTCTAGCTACCTTCGACGCCAACGAGCCACGCTCCATTTTCTCAAAGCCCAGAGCCAGGACACAGTCTGCGTTGCCCGACTCGATGATCTGTTTGCCCAAATACAGGGCACTCGAGCCTGTGGAGCAGTTGTTGTTCACATTGTAAACGGGAATGCCCGTCATGCCCACCTCATAGAGCGCCCGCTGGCCGCAAGTGGAGTCGCCATAGACATAGCCCACAACAGCCTGTTGCACATCCGTGTACTGAAGCTTGGCATCCTGGAGTGCTTTTGTGACTGCCTCTTTGGCAAAGTCCGGATAGCAAATATCGGTGCGGCGACCAGGCTTCTCGAACTGTTGAAAGAGTCAATAACTTTTATTTATAGACGAACAACCTTTAATCCGATTATTTTAGATAATAGTAACAAAACATGGAAATTAGATTGCGCAGCAACAAGATTTCGATTTCTTTAATGACCGAAGTGCACTGTAGTTCAAAGTCCGAGTGCGATAATTACTATTGGGAAAGGGGAGGAGATGGAGCAACTTGTTGTGGCAGCTTCTTGGAGATAGTCTTTTTCTTTGTTGCACCTGTTTCCAAGTATGCATGTAGTCATCCTACATAATGATATTTACCTTGGTCATGCCAACACCAACCACATACACTCGGGTCTGGGTCATTGTGAGATTAAGTATTGTTCTTTAGATGGACTACAAGTTGAACCGCTTTGACTCGGCTTTAATCAATTACTAAGCATTAGCTGAAGACCACAAAACAAGTTCGCTGGTAAGCTAAACAAAACTATCGATGACAATATCGATATGTTTAGCTGTTTACAAAATGCACTGCTTATCGCAACTTGCGTAACGAAATAAGAATTGAACTTGTTCAAAATTATGGAGCAACTTAATTGAACTGATTCCATTGAAACTGAAGTGAATTCGCGCCCAACTGAAAATGGGTCGAACAGTTACTTCCCGGACGCCTACCACAATAGAAGCACATCAAAATGACTAAGACTAGAGTTTACGTTATCGGCGTTGGCATGACCAAGGTTCGTATCAGAGAAGTGACCTTTGTCACCAACTGTAACCGACTTTCGACTCTTAGTTCGAGAAACCAGGTCGCCGCGCTGATGTTTGCTACCCAGACTTTGCCAAGGAGGCAGTTACCAAGGCTCTCCAGGACGCCAATATTAAGTACGAGGAGGTGCAACAGGCTGTTGTGGGCTATGTCTATGGCGACTCCACCTGCGGCCAGCGAGCGGTGTATGAGGTGGGCATGACTGGCATTCCCGTCTACAATGTGAACAACAATTGCTCCACGGGCTCGAGTGCCCTGTATTTAGGCAAACAGATCATCGAGTCGGGCAACGCAGACTGTGTCCTGGCCCTGGGCTTTGAGAAAATGGAGCGTGGCTCGTTGGCGTCGAAGGTAGCTAGAAAAAACTGTCATCCCTATATAATACCATCCATAACATAATCTATATTGCTAGTACTTTGATCGTGCCAATCCTATGGAGCGGCACATCACCGAAATGGGAGAGCTGACAGAGATCGGACCTGGACCAATGGCTGCACAGATCTTTGGCAACGCTGGCAAGGAGCACATGAAGAAGTACGGCACCAAGCCGGAACACTTCGGAAAGATTGCCTGGAAGAATCACAAGCACTCGGTTAATAATCCGTAAGTTCTATATGAATTGATTAGCTCTCAGTCGAAAGTTCAGTGCCATAATAAGCGAATGCGCTTATCTTATCTGGTATCACTTATCGTGGGGCCATCCTCTCGCTGAACATTGGCCATCCAATTGATAGACGAGTGGTGCAGTCATTCTTATCTTAATCTGTCGCCTCTCTCCTCCTGTTGTTATAGATACTCCCAGTTCCGCGATGAATACAGCCTCGAGCAGATTATGAAGTCGCCCCAGGTGGTTGAGGGCGTGCTCACCAAGCTGCAGTGCTGCCCCACTTCGGATGGCTCGGGCGCTGCAATTCTGGCCTCCGAGCAATTCGTGCGTCGTCATGGTTTGGAAAAGCAGGCCGTCGAGATTGTGGGCATGGAGATGGCCAGCGATCCCGAGTCGACCTTTGCTGACAAGAGCCTCATGAAGATTGCCGGCTACGACATGACTCGACTTGCCGCTCAGCGCCTGTTCGCCAAGAGCGGTTTCAAGCCACAGGATGTGCAGGTCGTGGAGCTGCATGATTGCTTCTCGGCCAACGAGCTGATCACCTACGAGGCCTTGGGTCTATGTGGTGAGGGCAAGGCTGGCGAGTTTATCGATAATGGAGACAACACGTATGGCGGCAAATTTGTGATCAATCCCAGTGGAGGCCTCATCTCTAAGGGACATCCCTTGGGCGCCACAGGCTTGGCTCAGTGCGCCGAGCTGTGCTGGCAACTGCGTGGGTTGGCTGAGAAGCGGCAGGTGCCTAATGTCAAGTTGGCCCTGCAACATAATCTGGGTCTGGGTGGTGCCGTTGTGGTAACTCTCTATCGTCTGGGCTTCCCTGGTGCGTCCAAAGCAAAGTTGTAAGGGATGTATTTGTTGTTAATGTAAATATATGAATTTGTGTTTTTTATTATCAAACTAAACTGGACTTGAAAATATGTATATAAATGCTTTGCGTTGTTCTTTTTTAAATACGTATTTCGTAAATAAATTTAAGTTTGAAACAGAGGTTCAATAGCTTTGACATTTTGAAAGGTATAAAAAGTGCCAGAAGAAAAAATACTTAAGTATACATAAGCAAAATACCAAACGAATAATCGTATGCACTCCGAAAACTGCTGAACTGCTTGTCAAGCAGTGCTGAATGTAAACAATCGGCTAGTAACTATGAAAGTGTTCAATTGAACTAGTTACAAATTTGAAATTGCCCGCACTTTTATCGAAGCCAGGTGATGTTCTTGAATGAAATAATGTAAAATCCAAGCTGAGATATTAAACGATTCCTTGGTTCAATGAGCTTTTATTATATTTTTATTAGATGTTCAGCTCTTAACTAACTGCGCTTGGCTTTAGACTGTTGCCGCTTCCGTGTGCAGCATATACGCCAGAACTTAAGAGCGATGACCAGGAGCAAGAACAGAGCCGCCCCAACTGTTATATAGACATCCAGCGAATAGTAGACAAAGCGATTGAGCTTAGCAGCACTGGACCGAAGCAGTGGAGCGCCGCGTGTCTCAGCCACGTGGTGTACCCACCAGAGAGCGTTGTCCATCGCCAGTTGCGGACGTTCGTTGTAGGCGGCGGCAACCTTTCTGGCCTGCTGCTTGTAGCTGGGATCCAGTGCCTGGGTGAGTGCGTCAAATACGCTCTGTTCGCTGAACTGGCTGAGGTCCACACGCACAGCCATGCCGCGTTGCACCAGAGCCGCCACATTCAAGTACTGATCACCATAGACTGGCATGCCCACCACAGGCACGCCGCTGGCGACGGCCTCTGTGAGGCCCATCAGGCCACCGTGGCTGAAGAATACGCGCAAATTGGGATGCGCCAGGATATCGCGCTGTGGCAGCCACTTCATGATGTGCACGTTGGCTGGTTTATTGGGCAGCGTGTCGTTCTCCCACTTCCAGATAATCTGCTGCGGCAGACGGGCCAGGGCGCGCAGGAGGGCCTCACGCTTGGCGCTAGATAGCGAGTTGGCTCTCAGCTGGGAGCCCCAGCTGATGAGTATGACGCCATGCTCGGCGTTGTCCAGCAGCTGCTGCAGTGCATCGTCCAGGGGCTTCGCTGCTCTTAGATGCAGTCCGCCCACTTCGATCACATTCGGTGGCAGAGGCTTGGCGCCGCTGAAGGCGTAATGCTGATTGATGAGCATCAGTGAGGTGTTCTTCACCAGCTCGCCCGTGCTCGGGATACCGGGTCCAAATCTCTGACGCAGCAACGCATCAGCAGCGGGCACATTGAACAAGCTGCAAGCAGAAAGGAAATCCTCATCCGTTATCTGATCCAGAATCAACTGCTGCTCACCTGTAGAGCCAATTGAGCGTGTGCGTGGTCAGCCAGTTGCCAAGGCGAGCTGAGAAGGACATGTTCTCAGACTGGCCCAGAAACAGAGCCGAGATGTAGGATGGTATTATCGGAGTGCCCATGCGTTCGTAATGCCACGGCATCAGGGCGCAGCTGCTCATGGCGATGACGGGTGACTGCAGCTGATAAGCCACGCCCATCATGCAATCCGTATTGAATTGTTCCATGATGATGACGTCATAATAGCCAGCAGGATGTTGGAGTACCTGGGCAAGCGCCTCGCTATGAAGCGTCGCATTGCACGCATCCCTGCCATAGGCGTACAGAATGAAGAACTCGCCGAAGGGCAACAGAGATGGCATAGGAATCTCTTCAAAAATCTGCGGAAAGAATTGATAAATTGATTGACTGACAGATGCATTGATTGACTTAGGCATGCTGGTTAATTGAGTCAATGACTGTTCTAATGGATAGACTGATTGATTGATTGATTGACTGCCTAGTGGACTGACCGATTATTATTATTAACATATTGATTTAGTGTCTGATTAAGATATTGACTCGCAGTTGAATTGACTAATAGTCTAAATGATTGATTGACTGATTGTCTAGCTGATTGAGCAACGGATTGATTCTGTTAGGAACTGTGTTGTTACAAATTCTCATCTATGAATACAAAATAAATCGAGATATAGACAGGCTATTGCCTTAATTTGATCGTATAGAAGTCGGCTAATAAATCAGTATTATATATGCTAATGTATCCATCTGTATAATATATTCCACAACAACTCACATCGAAACCAAGTTGATTGCTCAAATTGACGCTCGGAAGAGTATAGTCCGTATAGCCCTTCGGGGGCTGTGCATCGCGAAATGGGCTAACGACATCCACGTTGTGACCT